GTTAAATAGTGGCATGTCAAAAGACAGACAGAGTCGGAGAAGTTCTTGACTGAGATAGTTATAGACTACTCAGGCGATTTCTGTACCTACTTACCAACCGAATAACCCCCTTTTATTTGTTACGTGTTATTTGGCGTTCGTCTTTATTAACCCCAAATCAACATCATAAAAGGTAAATAGCAGGACAGACCGGGTTCTACAGCCTTGGAAGGCAACTGGTCTACCCCAGAAAGAAATGGCAACCTACTGCGGGAAAAAAATCTGCCTCGTCAGTCATGTATGGAGATACGTGATCGCCTAAGCGTGTATCACGCATGTCACATAACTGACTGACTGAGATATACAAATATAGAAAATGCTTTAAGACAATGAGTCTTCTCACCGGGTTTATTCAACCTATACGGTGAGGTGATTCTAAGATAATTACATCTCCTACGTTTCACTGTTGTATCGAGTCACGAACCGGAAATTGCTCCTCTCCAACGGATCAGTAAATTTGTACTGGACCATGTTGTTAACAAAATGAGTAACTATTTTTAAAGACATGTTTTTTTAAACAGTTGAAATCATTTTGGGTACCTCCACGGTAAATATCTATAAAACTCCAATAGAAGATTTCTGAAATTACATATAACTCGAATTCTCAAGCGATTCTTTTCAAAGAACTGTGGAACTGCTCGGTAAACTTATTATATTTAAGAATGATATTAGAATAATCCAGAACCTTTACTGACAGCAAACTGTTTGCGTACAGATAAAAAATGACTTCAGTTAATATACAAATTTAGAAAGCGTTGTAAGACAAGGATGTGTCTTCTCACCGGACTTATTCAACCGATACAGCGAAGCAGCTCTGAGAGAATTAAAAGTCTTACTAGGTTTCATTATTGGCGCCCACAATCTTAAAAAAGAACATAAGATATGCAGATGGCACAGTGTTGGTAGTAAAGAGAGAAAGGAACCTAAAGAATTCCTACAGATGGTAGTGAATAATGATTTATGACGTACGTCGTAAAGAACTTTTGGAACTGTTTAGTAACATTTACATATTTGGGGAGAATATTAGAATAATCCAGAATTTACACTGGGAGCAAACCGGCTGCATGCAGATATAGATTGTGTTCAGTAAATATACAAATATAGAAAATGTTTAAAGACAAGGATGAGTCTTCTCACCGGGTTTATTTAACCTATACAGTGAGGTTATTCTAAGATAATTACATATCTCTAGTTTCACTGTTGTATCGAGTCACAAACCGAACATTGCTCCTTCCAACCGATCGGTAAATTTACATTGGACCGTGTGGTTAACAAAAGGAGGTACATACTTTTTAACAGTCTTCTGACCGGGTGTATTCAATTACTGAAGTCTTGAATGATCTTTTTCCTCTCACCATTGCTCAGTTGAGAAGCCATAGTGGGGCTAAGAAAATGGTTTTGACTTGTTCTCTTTTTAGCTGAATAGCTTAAAGCTTTTTTTTTAGTGACTCTTACGACAAATGGTGTCTGAATGGCTAAACGTCTTATCTGAAAACCTGGAAAAAAGAAGCTCAATTAGTTTAGTGGTTTTTAGATATTAAACATTTTGTTTAATGGACAATTTTCCCATGCTATTAAAAAAATTGGAAAATTTTGCTGTTACACTCGGTAGATATGAAGATTATTCTAATCTATCGACTTATAAGTTATGTTAATAACAGTTAATCACTGGAACAAGAAAAGCGATATTTATGGTCAGAGTAATATCAGTGGAATAATGTAATCCGGAGTAATCTCCCTTCTTTTATGATTACCTCCCTTTTCTTTCGTTTGTAGAAGACTACAAATAGTCACTACGCTTGTATCAATTATTCTAAGCAGAATACAGCTTCCTTAAGCCTTCTGTTCTTCTCTATTCTTATTACAATCAGAAATAGCAACACAAATGCAAAAGGATGAGTATCTCTGTTTTATGGATTATGCAAAAGCATTTCATGAAGAACATCACAAAGGAATGTTGGAACTGTTTAGTAACCTTGACATATTTGAGGAGAATATTATAATAACCCAGAACTTATGTTGGGAGCAAACCGGCTGCATGCGGATATAAATTGCGTACAGTAAATATACTAATATAAAAGGGTGTACGACAAGGATGAGTCTCCTCACATGACTTATTTAACCTAGACATTGAGGCAATACTGAGAGAATTAGAAGTCCTACCAGGATTTATTACTAGCGGCCACAGTCTTAACGATATAAGATATGCAGAATACACAGTGTTGATAATATACACAGAAAGATATATTCAACCTATACAACGCGATAATTCTGAGAGAATTAGAATTCCTACCAGGATTTATTACTGGCGGCCACAACCGTAACAATATAAAATAAACAGATATCTCCGTGTTGATAGCAGAGAGAGAAAAGAAACTACAAGAATTCCTGCAGAAAGTAGTGAAGGAAAGCGAGAAGAAAGGGCTAGAAAACAATTACTAGACGGTATGCATGATTGCTAGCAAAAGGGGCAGCCCAACATGAAAAATACAAATTGGTGATACCAAAATCAAACAGTACAACAAATATCTAGAAAGTGATTTATCAGAGGATTGAAAGTGCGATACTGAAATTCAAAGTCGCATAGCCAAAGATTCTTTCCAAAAGCTAAGAAGAGTATTAAGAAACAGAAGAAAAATCATTAGAAACTAAGAAAAAAATACTGAATTGTTAAGTAATATAACTTTTCTTATATGGCAGTGAATGCTAAGCTAAACAATCTCTTCACACATGAAGAATAGACTTGAAACAATAGGAATGTTGATCTACAGAAAGATGTTGGGGATACCATGGACCGAACATGTGAGCAATGACGAAGTTTTAGATAAAATAGAAACAAAAAGGAAACTTCGAATTAACACCAGGAAGAGGCATTTGGAATTTCTAGAGTGCGTAATGAGGAAAGAGGGTTTGGAAAATCTGTTACTCACAGGATTGTTTGAAAGCTTGGTTTATTGGCGATCCAGACAACGCAAAAGTCTACAATGGATGCACAAGACATGAGTTCAAAAAGCGGTTCAATCTACATCAAAGTTCTTTTAGGATAAATAAATACCGAAATCAGACGTCCCATTCGAAATATTTCTGGTACTTAAAATAAACCATTCTACTGTGAAATGGAAATTAATAATAAAAGCTAGAATATGTAGGCCATTAAATGACCCATGTCCTTTGAGCATACATCAGAAATTGTATATTACCAGGTTTATAAAAAATAAAAATTTACTTAATCAAAGAAATGAAATAGCTATTCTTTGCTGACATTGTCAAAAATTTTCCTTAAGTAATGTTTAATTAAAATAAAACTGATTAATGAAATATACATATTATATTTGATATTTAATAATGATTTTTAAATAATTTAAGTAATTCTATTACATTTATTTGTTTTAAAAGATGTACAGTCTATTAGTAATTAATTAATTAGACTGGTTCCTATAGTCTTTGGTGGCGAACAGTCTAGAAGAAGGGCACCTCTGAATTCTAAAACCTGTGGAGGGTTGTTTAGAGATCTTGTCGCATACTGTGCACCAGCTCTCTGTATTCGGCTCTTCTAAAAACGTGGTTGGTTCTGCATAAACCTTCACCACTAAAATCAAATGATATGTCCGCATAGTCTGGCAGTAGGTTCTAAGAACTGGACTGCTCGACACTCATAGGTCAAAAACGACGGGAGAGTTATATAAACAATCATATATATATATATACACACACACATCACACACACAGACAGATATCTCTCTCTCTCTCTCTCTCTCTATATATATATATATATATATATATGTATGTATATATATCCTTTCCATTATAGGGGAAGAGTGGTCAGTACGGTGATAATGTGTCCATAAATATGAAAAAAGTGGTCTTTGAAATCAACACAGCATGGTGACTGCCAATTTTACGCCTCGATGCGATCTTCATGCTAATTGCAAATATTCAATGAGTGATTTTATATATAGGTTACTGGGCGATTAACGTAAGTTTAGGAACGGGAAACCGGCCCGACTCAGTTTGTATAAAGTTAATGGAAAACATTTAACCTACATGAAGCTGAAAAACAAGTGACGAAAGTCCACTAAATGATAACTGGTGGCATAGTGATTGTGTGCTCATCTCTTGGGTCGGGCAATTGGTACTGGGACTCTGTGGAAGCGGGCGAGAAATAACTGACTAATAGTAAAAGTAAGAACTAGTTGAGATTTTTTTTAGACATGGGCAGTGGAACAAGAAAATAATCTATTTCCGTGGATTAAATAAACGGTTCCGTTCGGAATTCAGTGTAGGTTACGTAGCTTGATTCACACCTGAGGAAGGCCAAAAATTCACAACGGCCGAAACTATAAATATTTAACTATGGGGTGCAGAATTAATTTCAACTCGGAACTCATTTCACCTCGGAACTAAAGGTTAGGTTTAGAGGCAGGATTTTTATAATCGGGATGAAATTATTTCCGAGTTGAAATTAATTCTGAGTTGAAATTACTTCCGCGTTGAAATTACTTCTGCGTTGAAATTAGTTCCGAATTGAAATTAATTCCGAGGTGAAATTAATTCCGAGTTGAAATTAATACCGAGGTGAAATTAGTTCCGAGTCGAAATTAATTTCGAGTTAAATTTGTTCCGATTTGAAATTAATTCCGCGCTGAAATTAATTCCGCGTTGAAATTAATTCCTAGGGGAAATTAGTTCCGAGGTGAAATTAAGTCCGAGTTGAAATTAATTCCGAGTTGAAATTATTTCTGTCACTCTTAAATATATTTAATTTGTAAATAAATTCCGAATGTTTCTAAGGAAATAAAAAAAAAAAATTACCATTAGAAATACCATTACTTTGTTCGAAAGATAATTTTCCTTGGGTGGGTGTTAAAATTGTCTGGTTAAATTGTTATTGTCGTAGGTGTCAGGGGAGTGATACGATCTTTTTTAGTACAATAGGAGAAGGATCCCCCCCTCCGGAAAGTATGCATCGCCATTGGCTAAATACCGTGACGCAGAATAACCAACCAATAAAAAGCGAAAGGGATAATTGTTATGAAATGACTAGCCAGTCTTGCGTGAGTTTAATAAATATTCCGTTTCAAACCAGAATATCAATATATTTCAGTTTTGTGTTTCAAAGATGGTGTGAATTGAATCGAACAAGCGGCATCACAGAGGAATTTTCTGCCTCTCTTGATACGTCCTTTCAGATCCGGGGAGCCGTAGAACGGGTTTCCGAAACACGCTTTTCTGTCCACTAAAAATAAGTATTGAGTTGTTGATTAATTCCAGTTGGCTTAATCTTTAGGTTTCTGTTGCTCCGACAAAACAATTCTAAACATTTATTCCCAAACTCAAAACCAACACAAGTTTACTTGCATTATTTACATTATTCGGACTGTTATCCTCATCTTCATTGCCACATTCACAACGTTTCGGCCGTTGTACGCTCCGGCCTTCTTCAGGTGAGTGGAATTTCGAACCGAACCCTCTATTTCGTCCACCAGACGAAAACAGATATCAACACACGTTTACTTGTCTTCCTCTTCGATCTGCCAGTTCCCTAGAGCTCTTAGCAATAATTGTCTCTTTATTACACCAGGTATCCACTGTTCTGCCAACCATTTACACACGCTCTTTATGTAGATTACTCGCTGCTTTCTTCTGTTCCTCTAGCCTTCAAAATGCCCTGTGAGTGTCAAAATTTCCAAACCTTCTCTTCTCAATATGTACCTCAGAAATGTCAATTCTCTCTTTGTAATTCCATGTGCTAGTATCCTTTTTGTTTCCATTTTTCTTTGAGAATCCAAAGAAGAGTCTGTAATGCAATTGATTCTGACCACGTATCTAGCGTTCAGTCCCTTTCTCAACGACTTGCCGTGCCGTGCCTTCCCTCTGTCTTTTCTGCAAATATTTTCATGTCAACTACTCTAATGACCTTTTTTGCCCAGGCACTCCAACTACATGAATTTAGGTGTAATACCAGATTGCCAACTACGTCCCATCATTTTACTGTTGAACTAGCTAGAACTAGCAACCACCACTTTTACTCTAACAGTTTAGCACTTCCGACCTGTGGAACTCCCTTCCGATTATTTGCATCCTTGATAATTACAATTTTCAAAAATTTAAATGCAACGTCAATCGCCATGTTTTGTTTTCTTGAACCCCGTTTCATTTTTGCCCTTTCCTCACTCCTCCCCATTCTTGGTCTTCTCATTCTCTTTCATTTTAACCCTCTGTAAACCCCTGCGTCTTAGTGGTATTGTCACCTTGCTTGGGGTGAAACGATTAAAAAAAACTTCCAATTTACTTACAGGATTCTTAGTTACTGATGTCTTTTTTTTTCACTTTGTCACAGTATGCTGTTATGAATGACGTGTGCACAGATCCTTGCTTGACAGTAATAAATAAAAACAAATATTTTTTGAAGTCGGATCTATTAGACACTGTATTCATATTAGAAACAGAACCTGATTTCTAAAGTGATAAATAATCGATAACTTTCGATTCTGACAAATGCCGTTGCTTCAGGAAGGTCTAATATATGCTAATCTATAAAACTTGTTTAAAATAATTCTTCTCGATTTTTTACGAGTAGGGCAGTCAATTTAAATAGTACCACCGAGTACATCCCCTACAGATAGATATTATGCACTCTCAACCCCCTCTCACAAAAGCCACTTTTCCTAGGGGATCCAGATGTAAGATTAGCTTTTCTTTTTAAATTCTATTACAGAGCTAACCTGTTAAGTAGTTTGGTTTCAATTGTTCAAATTGTGTTAAACCTATTAAACTATTGTTGTAATGTAATGTCCCACACTCCCTATCGTCTATGTGGACTGACTATATCAGTAGCTATAAATAGTGAGCACAGAATATACCTGGGGGCGTGCTTTGGGAATTACTCGCCAGCCCCGCGATTTCTTGTCTTTCAGTGGCGTATTTTCTTTTACAATAAACCTCTTTTCTTTCATCTACGCGTGTCTTGCTGTTTCTTCACTCGAGTACCACCGTTTTCTGTTTGTAACCTCTTTAAGGATACAACAACTATCCTCACTCAATTTTGTCATAATAAACTGCATTTTTTATCTATACACAAACAAAAAATTGGCAGGGACAGTTGATGGGGCGATTTTTTAAGGCGTAGCCCAACCAAAATCTGCATTACGCTAACTGCTTGGGAGTCCGTTTTAAAATTAATTGGTTAACTTTAATCTCTATCAAGAAGCAAATCGATTCAAAATTTTATAGTGCGGTTCATTCTGATTAACTATTGTTATTTTTTTAAACTATTTTTTCACCCAATACAAGGCTCAAGAGCTACTCAAATGAAGTTGTAAGTATATAAGAAGAGGAATTAATTTCATATGGGGATACGTGGGATTGATAACGATTAACTCTAGACTCGAAGAAATTAAAAACGTAGTCATCGGGGAAGTACCCTCCCGGGAGTCTGTTCCACAAAGTAATGGTTTCTGTGTAATCTGGCAAAACTGTGCAATTTCAGTGTTATCTCTCCAAACATTAATGGTAATCATTTTTCCATGACCTATTTCAGTTGTATATCCCTATCATTGGTTTTAGAGACACCACCTTCCGTCCAATACATTCTCCAATCTCTTCATTTGCCTTTGGCATCAAGTTTATTTATAAGCCACGTTCATTACAAATTTCAAACTTCGATCCAATTTCATCGCAAGCGAAAAAAAATTCAAACACCGCAGAAATTGATTCCTCGTGGAAGACCCGGGATGCTACTTGAAAGCTATCAAACAGTAAATAAGGAAAATTAAAAGTTAATAATTGTAATAAACCAGAAAAATGGGAATTAATAATAATAAATAAATAATTATAATAGTAGTAATAATAAATTTAAAAAAATGTGGCACATGGGAACATCAACAATCCCTGTTGTAGTTGGAGCCCTCGGATTGGTTGGAAAAGACTTCAGTAGACTCATTGAAGGGATTCCTGGAAGTCCATGCCTTAAAGAAATGCAAAAAATTGTTCTTACGAGTACAGCCCACACCTTACAAAGAGCTTTATCTATGTGAAATATGTTCTTTTTTTTTTTTTTAATTGGTCAGTGGAAAATGTCATGATGCCATTTCTAACCATGGATCACTGGGTGGGACCCGAAAAGAAATGGGTACATGAATCAAAGGAATAATAATAATAATAATAACTAGTTTGTTGTGGTCCAGGTTAGGTCCAAGGAAGAACAACACGAACACAAGAGTAGAAATAACGAAGGTATATTACATGAAATAATAATTCAAGATGTGGAAGGTATTAGTATGACTGTCAGTCTGGTTTGGAGTGAACTACTATCGGCTCCACTCGATTCGGTATCTAGCTACCCACCCACGTGGGCTGCGTGTCGCACAAGGCCGAGTGTAACGTGGGTTTACCGAGCCCGTAGGCTCGGCCAAAAAAATGCCCGTAGAACCCGTATAAACGGGATCGGGTTGGTCAACCTCCCCGAACGAGACTCTGCCCTTCGGCGGAGCCTCGTCCGGGTTCCTCTCTGGTCAGAGGCAGAGAGTTCGACCGTCAAGTCGAGAAGCTCGGCTTGATTCGGTATCTAGCCACCCCCCACGAGGGCTGCATGGGCACAAGGCCGAGTTTTTTACGTGGGTTTCCCGAGCCCGTAGGCTCGGCCAAAAAAAAATGCCCGTATAACCCGTATAAACGAGATCGGGTTGGTCATTTCTCCCCGAACGAGACTCTGAACTTCGGCGGAGCCTCGTCCGGGTTCCTTTCTGCTCAGAAGCAGAAAGTTTGACCGTCAAGTCGAGAAGCTCGGCTTGATTCGACCCTCTCTTTTGAGAGGTGTAGTATACATAGTTTTAGGAAGAGTTCATTCTGTAGTTATAGGTCAGGACCCATGACATGGTCAAACCTCAGATTTACAAACATTTTTATTAAATACTAATTGAGAAATAATTCAGCAATTATTTTATTTATGGTAACTGGATTTGGGGCGATTGCCTTAACAGGTTTGCGTCGTTCAATATTGTGCGTCTGAAAAATGACGACTTTATAGCAGTTGCCCTATCTTTTTGGCTAGGGGAGGTTGAAATAATATTAACCCCAAAACCAAGGGGTCCTTCAACCTAAACACTAGATCTCCTTCTGGGGTGGGGCTAAGTTTATTTCCCGATGCCTCAGGCGTACTCAAAAGTGCCGAGGAGGCTTGGGCAATTTTTGCACCATATTGCCGCTAAAACCCACTTTATACTTGCCTTGTATCACATTTAATAGCTATGTAGGCACATTAAAAATATCCGCTTCTTGACCTTTTGGCTGGGATCAAAATGTAGTATTTGCTCTGGAAGGGATGGACTAAATTTTCATCTGTCAGTTGGGCCTCTCTCCGTGGACAGAGCGCTACTGAAAATATTCCCCGAAAACAGTTGCCCTAGTTGTTTTAAAGAAGGGGTATCAGTAGTAATTCCGACGGCAGCGAAACAGAGGGTTGCGTGGTCTGAACTACTTTGGGACCTCTCTTGCTTACATCTGCGGGGACAGCGTGGGGCGGCAAGAAAATGGAAATTGCTTCTTGGCCTTTTGGCTAAGAGCAAAGTGTAGTATCAGTAATTATCAGCTTCATCTGATTCTCTATCTACTTCTATATTCCTCAAATTTACAAATATATATATATATATATATATATAAGCAAATATATGGATATAGATCCGAAAGTATGAAGAAAAATATATACGGAAAAAACAAAACAAAAATCCTTGTATACGATTATGTTGTTTTAATGTTAATATGTCAACGTCTGACGTTTCGGTCTAATAAACCATCTTCACCATCCTTGTTCTAATGTATATCGTCTTTGTCATGTTGTATTGATAATGTTATATTTATGAATATGTCCTGAAGATGGTTTATTAGACCGAAACGTCAGACGTTGACATATTAACATTAAAAACAACATAATCGTATATAAGGATTTTTGTTTTGTTTTTTCCGTATATATTTTTTCATATATATATATATATATATATATATATATATATACAATTCATCAGACGTAC